CTAAAAATATATTGAATGGTCAAAAAAATATTTTTCTAATTATAATTGAATTTAATAAATATATTTACCAGTATAAACTTTTACATAATCTTTGGGAGTATCCGGAATAATTTCTTCTCTGAGACCTTTCGATATACTATTAATTAGGTCGAAACATATTGTTCACCTTCAATATAAAAAGGAGCATGACCACTTGATATCTCCCATAAAAGCATACCAACACTGTAGACATCACTCTTTTCGTTTAGCTTATATTTTAATGAGTTAAACCTTTTTGGGTCAATATAGGGAATTATACCAAAATCATTTGATAATTCAGTTGCTTCTTCAATTCTTTTTGATAACCCAAAATCCGCCAGTTTTATACAATTCTGGTGAACTAATATATTGTTGGAGTGCTATATATTTATTTAAAAATTGTTAATATCTTTAACAATATTTTTAATAAAAGCACATAAAATTATTTACCAAATCACAATGCACAATTCCTTCATCATGTAAGCATGATACAGCACTTGTCAATTGAAATGCCAAATCGTATTTATCATTCCAGGTAAGCTCATTAAAGATTTTCTTCAAATGGTTTCGAAGAGTACCTCCATCAGCATATTCCATTACTATCAAATACTTTGGACGATCATTTTGAGTTTCTAATTAAAAATAAAACCTTTAGATTACAACATTTTTACTTTAAATTTTAAAGTTTCAATAGTATTTATTATTATACCTAGAACGGTAGTTATGCCATAAAAGCGAATAATGTTATCATGAAAATCAACTTCTCGTTGAAGTTTAATCTTAAAATGAATCAGGTTATAAATATTAAACAAAATAAAAATTGCGTTTATATGATCACGTGTTTCGATCTATTAAAATCGGCGTGTTTTTTCTGTGCCAGGTTGGATGCGCAGCATATAGTAATATGATTTTCCCTTCGTACCCTTCAAAAAATGTTCGCCGCTGCGCCATAAACCTGGCACACAAAAAAAGGTATGCCTCATTTTGGAGGATGACGTAAGGTCCCATCATTTGGGAGGATTTCTATGAAGAGAAATTTTTGACTAAAATTAAGAGCTTATGCATATTAATCTAATAACATCAAAAACTAAAATGCAATAAAATCTCAATTTCGTTAAAAATTTCCCGGAACCTGGTTTTTCTAATTTCATATATCCGGGATAACCTGCCACATTACATTAAAATCAAGTTACAACAAATATTCTGTAAAATATTTACCTCGTGAACGATTTTTTCAACTGTGACGATATTGGAGTTAAAAGATTTCAATGCAAAATCTTTATGTAAACTTTTCCAATTTGCACGATAGACTTCTCCAAAACCTCCGCTTCCAACCTTTTGAAAATTACAAAAAGAGTTATAGTCGAAATGCTTAATATGACTTTTAAAAATAGCCTCTCCAATCCAGCCATCTAAAGGATCAGGTATCTGTAACGGATTATGCGAAGGATTATTATTTTCCATAGCTTTATCTTGAATAAAAATTATAATTTGAAATTTTTAGAAAATTATTTTGATGGGTTATATATATCTATGAGGTGACGCAAAAATAGCATAGCCATCACACTGACAGCTCAATGTTTTTTACTTTTAACCTCTTAAAAAAGAAAATTTCTAGAAAAAAGGAATTACACAAATATATTTTTACTTTAAAAAATAATACCGCAACAACGTTTTGCGCCATTTTCCATTTTTCTGCATAAAAGATAGGAAAACTCTTACATTTCACCGCCAAAATAATTAATAAAAGTCACGTGTTTTTCGCAATTTTTGTGATTCTTTGTTACTTGTACTAGATACATGTGCATCACATGCATCAGTTTTTTTGTAGGTGCATTTGATGACCGGTCCTGATGTGACGAAATGCGAAAATTTCAGTTAGTTTATTTTGTAGTGTAACATTTATTTTATTATAACAAAAAAAAAAAAAATTCTTTTGGTAAAGATGAAATAAATTTGTATTGTTTATTTATACCTAATTTAGGGCTACATTTTTTAGTCTTAGAAAATAATCGTTTTAGTTTCAGAGTAAGAACTTTTAATTTATATAACAAAAGAACAAAAAAGAACAAAAAAATATAATAATTTAACATTACATTTCAAGTATTTCAAATTAAATGTATTTTTTTAGAATAAATTTATTAAAAATATTTTTAACATGAATAAATAAAAAATTTATTTTTATTATCTGTGAAAATTTTTTACAAGAAATTTTTATTGTCAAGTTAATTATACTAAATATTTGAAGAAAAGATGGCAGATTTTTTTTATTACAAAAATCAAGAAATCAAGGTGAAAAAAAATAAAGGATCAAATGAATGAAAACAAAAGTCAAGCAAAAAATAAAAAGACTATGAAATGAAAGGTAAAATAGAAATCCATAACAAAATGTATGAAAACGATAACTGAAAAACAAATATATGATGTCATTTGGAATGTTATCAAACAATGAATTATAGATGTGAAGAATACTGCGAAATTCTGAAGAAAAGAAGATGAAGGTATTGAAGATACTTTAGCTGAAGAAAATGATACGATTGAAGAATTAGAAATAAGCAAGAACCAGGAAATACCCAAGAATTTTTTGAACACACTCACCCAAGTTATTATTTGGTAATATTCTATCCCAATAATAACTATTAAAAAAAAATTAATAATTTTGTATAATAAAATAAAACGTTTTTATTGTAATAATAGTAATGTTACTTATAAAAAGCCCTTTTTTTTTTAAAACTTAAAATATAATTGTTTGATGCTATATTATCAGTTTTTGTTTAAAGTTTATAAACTTCAAATATGTTTAAATTTAGCAATTAGCCTTAATTAAATATTACCACGAAGTAGAAAAATAATCCCTATATAAATATGTTAAAACATTGGATCATATGAGTTCAAACGAAAAGGACCAGTTCAAAGTATATGTTTTATTACTAGTTAATAGAAATTTTTGCAGGTTACCAATTGATTTTTAATTGAACCCTATTGTAACACGTATATAAACAGTAACATCATTGTCAAATTTAACAAAAATATACATGAAAAATTTTCAAATACTTCGATACTTCGGCTGATCATTTTTATTTTAAATTTCAATATTCTTAAATAATTATCATTAGATCGGAAGTTATGTATAAAAGCGAATAATATTATCATGAAAATCAACTTCTCGTAGAATTTTGATCTAAAACATAAGTTAGATTATAATAAATTGCGAAGGTATTAGGGCCTCTTTTAATTTTTTAGTTCTGTGATCACTTGATACGAGTTCATCTATCCATAATGTGATTTTTGTTACATATTATACATATTAGAACAAACAATATGATCTTCTTCATATATACTTGTAATTAAATTTAATTGAACGATCCACATCCACCCCCAGGCAAGAACGCCGTTAAAACAACCGAGTATTTTAAGCGGGGGATTAAAGTTTTCGAGGATTCGATGCAATTTATGCAAACCACCTTGCCTAATGTATATTTTAGATCTCTAAAACTGGTGTTTATTACCCTGATTTGTTTTGAACAATTTACTTATTAATATAAGTAATACAAAATATATTCAATTTTTTAATCTATATTGAAAGAGGGTTTGGTTTTTCCTCTGGTGATAAAAAGTGCCGAGCTTGTTGTGACAATTTAATCTTTTTATCTATTGCAGTATGCAACTAAAAAAGTTGAAAGAATAAATTATGAATTTTTATTCATACCAAAGTAGGGTCGGAAAGATGAAAAAAATTTACAATAACACCATATTTAGTTATTAAAAAACTGCGCCACGTTATTTAGCAAGGTTGATCATCATTACACTCATTAAACAAAAAAAATTCGTCTCTCTTCCTTTTACTTTTCGTTGGAAAATATGTCACCAATTAGAGAGCATCAAACTTCACCTTCTTCACAGCATCAGCCAATTGCTCATTCTTCAGGCGAAGATCATTCGTCAACAAAGAGTGATAAGTCAAATTCATTGCTAACGACCGTAATAGACGTGGTAAAAGAAGTCCAAGCATAAACACGAGAGCTTCGAGAGTAGATGTGACAAATTTTATTAAATGTGATAAAGTTTACATCCAGGTGAATCAATAAATTACTTTCCTATAACAAAGGAAACTTTACAGGAATATATTAATTCGAAAAGAAAGGCCCACATAAAAGCCGGTTCTCTTGATCAATATTTACAGCATATTCAAGCGTAGTACATTGCCCTTGGCTTTGGTTGGAACGGACACGTATTTGGTCCAATCATCAAAAAAGCTTTGGACGAATTAAGAAATTACGAAGACGAGATTTCCTTAAAGACCGGAAATGTATCGTCTCCCTCAGCAACCTACTTTAATAAATTCTGCAATTTCACAACGATCAAATCCCTTTTCGAATTCTTTGGAATCTATTTTTAATTCATCACCTAATGCTGAAGATGATACTATGAACGATAACCTTCTCGATGAAGATTTGTCTACGTTTAGATTCTCAAACATTAAAATCTGTTACAGTTCGTTCAAAGGCTAGGAAATATAAACAAAAGATCGCAGTTTCAGATACTACACATTTACTTCGCTAATCTAGTTCGCAATTAAAGTACCTCCTCCGGTTGGTAAACTGTTTGTGATTAGAGCTGCGGATGGGGTACTTGAGTATATATTCCAGGTGATTTGGTCCGAGAAGTATTACTGGGATTGAGCATACTGAAATTCTTATAGAATCGATATTAATATAATTATATTTTAGTGTAAAAAATTTTATCATAAAACGCATTATTTTTTATTTATTTTTCTCCTCTATGAAATAATTAATTTTATAATCACGAACAAATTTCTTACATCGCTTTATGTTTATTTTGTAAAATAGGACTTCTTTTCATTATTATTGTAATTTCTTTTTGTATAGATTAAGGCACTATTAACACTTCATTAGCTATCGCTTATTTATAAATTTATTTTTATTTTCGTTTCGTATACCCTGAAACTTGTTAATACATTCTCTTTTAGTGCGTAAATGTACATAATTATTCGAACTTTTTTTTTATTGCGTTTTTTCTTCTGATAACAACCCTATATACAAATCTCTTTCTTTTTACTAGAATTTTTCCGACAAAATTATTCTTTGTTTGAATTCTCAAGTGTTTTTTTTTTTTATTCACTAAATTTTCGTAGTTTGGTTTTAATGTACATTTCTTAAAAAAAAATATATCTTATATAATAAAAAAATACTATATTTGTTTATTGTAATTTCAAAATTTTACATTCTTTTTTTTGATAGCGCAAACACTAATATAATATATACATTAAATATTTTTCATTCATTTAATCGTTATTTTTATTTTCAATTCACATTTTTTTTTTTTTTTTTTTTTTTGTTTGATATACTTTTATATATGATTGGTCCTTTATTTCATTTTTAAGAACATATTTCATTAGTAATTCATTGATCAATTTTTCTTATGTAAATTATATTTGTGTGATTATTTAATAAAACTTACTCATTTTGTAATGAATATGGGTTCATGTATTCTTGTTGAATTTTAGCATATTTGAATTTCAATCAAATGATACTTACTTACTGTACGATAGGTTCATCATAGCACCCTCATTCTTCGAAAGGAAAAATTAATTCTAATCCCAACTTGTACCTATAATACATTATTTCCAAATAAACCTATTTAATTCATCGTTTTGACATTTAATGTGATCATTATATTTACCTCAAAATACCAAATTTTCCTAGGATGTCTTCTATTGTATATTTGATCTTTCTTTTACGTTCATTGTTGCGGTACAAAAAAATTAACTAAAAACTTTGTGTAAAGTTCACGCATTTTAATATATACAGTCCACGGTTTATTATAAAAATTTTTGAAGAAAAACCCGTTTTTATCAAAATTTATAAATTTGGTATAACGATTTTTTATATGTTTAATTAGGATAAAAAAAATTTTTTAAAAATCGGTTTAAACGAGAATTTATTAAGTGATCGTTGTATTCAAGAATTCGTTATATCGAGTTCTATCTGTACCAATATAAATAAATTTTTCAAATAAAAAAAAGTTACTTATTTCTTAATTAAGATATTACAATTTTTCTTTTTTTTTTTTATAAATAATAAATTACAAGTTTGGAATTTAGAATTGATTTCTATCCCATAAAATTTATTAATATGTTAATTAAATTCTCATTTAGAGATTTTAAAGCGGTAAACGCTCTGCGAGGTATATCATTTTGAATGGTTTCTACGCAACCTTTCGTACCATGAATAAAGTTTTACCATCTTTACCACAAAAATCAAAATGGTAGGATTTTGAATTAATTGTTTGCCTAGAGGGCAAAGCACGGTGACGTGACTTCCATCATGTCTTGTGACATACAAATTCCCATCAATGTCAGTTCTCATGCCATCAATATCAATCATATGAGTACCATCTAATTTTTCAAAATCACGAAAAGTACTTGGTTAGATACTTTCCCCGTACGTTTATCAATGTCAAATCTTCAGATCTTATTGGTTATCACTTTGGAATCTTTATTTAAAGTTTCTGAAGTATATAAATGCTTTCATCAGGTGACACTTCTATACCATTCGTTCGTCCAAATGTTAGGTGCTCAATCACTTTACCATTTTTACCACCACAAAACCATAATCTCCCACCCTTTGACGGTATTCTCGGTAATATTTTGCGCCGAGATATATATTCGACTAGTTTTGTATCTATACGCTAAATCATTTGGTAACGATAACATTTTATCCTTATAGAATGCACTTTGCTTAACGTAACCATCTTTTGTACAACGATTTTCGTAATTTGATCCTAATTTACATTGCTACCCCCTTTATACCTTGGTTCACTTGCGTTTTCGTTAATGGGATGTACCTTACACCATTTTAAAAAGATTCTTGTGATGAGGAAATATGATAAACCGATTGTGATGGTATGATACTATCAATATCGAATATTTTTGCATCGAAATTTGTTGCAAACATATCCCCGTTCACATTCACCGACGTTCCCTCGAATCTTCTTCCGAATTTTGACGTGGATGAAGTGATGAACGGAGTTATGTAAAGATTATTTTGTGCCGATGAAAAAGTGAGGAACGATATCGCAAGGATTAATGAATTCAAACTTTGTAACCTCATATTTGTTATAAAATAAATTGGAATCTTTCGTTTTATTTTATTTTATTTTATTTTTTTTAAAAAAAAAAAAAAAAAAATGTGAACGAAGTCAATTTTCAAAATAAAAAGAAAAAGAAAAAAAAAGTTTTATTTTATCCCTAATGTTGGGTTCACGCAATGTCGTGTTTGTTTATGAAATAATAATTGAATTAAATTATATTGAAAGGAGATGTAATCGGGAATCCCCCAATAAAGGTTAAATTATTTTTCTTATTCATTATTCTACAATATGGAAAACAAGCCACATTTTTTTTTTATAAAAAGAAATTTTAATATATTGTTCTCATGTTCAAAGTGTCGAATATTTTTCAACTTGGCTTTTTTTTTTTAAAAAAAAAGAAAGAAAGAAAGAAAGAGAGTTAAACTACGCGTTTATGAAAATAATTACAAGACATTCTGCGGGTTACTTTCACCAGAGGTAAAATTCATTTCGTTAAATTTGTTTCGTTAAGTTAACGATACGCTCTTATTTCATAAGGGTATTACATAAACCTGTATAGTATGCTTCGATAATATGGTTTTTTTTTGTTTTGTATGGTCAAAACCATATTATGCAGATTGTTATACACCCTTGTTTTCACTTTATTTTTATGATAATCTTTAAACCTTTGAACGAAATCAAGGTAGAAATGTAAACAACATGTTGCAATTAGCTAGTTAAATTTATAAATTTACAGTATATTTAGTTGAATCTATATTTCTATAATAAATTTGTAGCAAATAAATTAGCAGTTTAGTAACGTTCTCATTTAAATACTTTACTTCGTGAAATTTACGTAATACCACGGATCATTGTAATGAGAATCGCCTTTATCATTAATATTGCTTTAATTCGAATAGTTTTTTAATTTGGTTGTGTTTGATTGTACGCTTCGCATAGAATTTTACGGAAACGAGTAAAACTTACTAGGAACACCTTTATTGCCCTGCTTGATCGAATTAATACTAATGAACCATATAAAAGCACAGTGGATACTCCATATATTATTTTTTTTTTTTGGAAAATTATCGAATATTCCAGAAAATTTCGTAATTATGTGATCATATGATTTTGCCATATTTATATTTTACGCGGACGCGTATTCCAAAAGATTGCCTTTTTCCCACGACGGACGACAGACAAGAATATTTTAACCTGCAAAGTTGTTGTCCAAAACGGTATATAGTAAGGT